TTTAACAAGTTGTTTCTTTAGAGTCAAACACATTAGTACAGTCGCCTAATATTTTTCTTTCTCAAAACTATGCAGCATTTGAAATTAAACTTCAGTCTAATAATCTACTTCATTAAATGTCAATGTCAGCCGCTCATGAAACATGGTGATTTATAGCTATAGCGAAGGTATTGTGGCATGCAGCATAGAAGAGGCGTCTTTATCCTTTCAAGTTTATTCTGACTCTGAAGGTAAAGCGAAGGCGATAGTTTGTGAGCATATTTATTGTGAATTCATGGTACCTTCTTATTGTGAATGCCACAACTGAAGTGCGAGAAAAAAAAAACATGAAGGATGGAATAGGAATAACCCTGAATAACAATTTCTGACATATCAAACATCAAAATAAAATATCGTATTGTAGAGATCCAATCTAATTCACATGCTTCAATCAAAACAAAAGGCAGCTCACAGATGAAGCCTGCATCAGGTTCTGTACTCTCATGGAGTTGGTTTGCGTTTATAAGAGGCTATAATTCATAAAATTTGGCTTTCATCCAATCAGCAAGCAGTGGCCTCAGGTGCAGGACAGTCAGATGAAAAACACCTTAAAATCTCAGCTGTTGCTTTAACTCTCAACAGAGATTGGATGATGAACTATTACAGAAATGATACCAATTACTGTGCAAGATTTAAATACACCACAAAAAGTGATGGATTATACCTGCATTTCTAAATGCCAAGATTAAATTTAGCCTTATCAGTGCATATTTGGATGATAGAACATGAACCGTTTTATTTTCATTATTTGTTTGCCTTTTTATCCACGGAAATTGTATCTAACTGAGTCTCAATGATTAGATTTAGAGAAAGCTATCCACACAAGAATTTACTGTAAATCAGCACCAAATATAATGTCTTGTTTTCCCTCAGACTTGAGAAAATATAGTTTGAGATAAAGTTGGCAAGTTACTGTGAAAAACCCCAGATGGATTAGCAAGGATTTAAGAAAATATGCTGCAATAAACAAAACTGGATTACATCAAAGACATTGCATGTGGAAAATAGTTGACATAATTATTTAGTTGCAGTTATTTGCACATCAGTTTCCCTTTCTGGGAAGCACTTTATTCAGTTTCTTTACTTTTTTCGCACTTATGCTCTTAAGATAGCCTTCTTTTTTTAATATTTAAAAGCCTTGTCTGTCACCATCTCATGCAAAGTACTGTGACAAATTGCACGTAAGTGTTCTTTAAAGTTCAACTGCCACCCCAGAGGTTTGAACATGTCACAAAAAGAAGTAAAAATGGGAGAAATGATCCACAGCACAGACAGGGTTATAGTGGCATTTGGCAGATTGAGGTGATACGTTAAAAAAGAATTACAAATATAGGATTGAATCTGCTGAAGACGATGGCAATGTCAAAAATTCTAACTTTATTGTTTCATCTTACTTCTGTTTTAGCTGTATGTGCTAATGTTTCTTTCAAAGGTGCGTACGCAGGGAAGGCATTGATGTACGCCACGAAAGAGATGGGTATACTGTGAATTTGCACCTACTGATTTCTCCTTAATGGAGTGGTGTCAGTCGGTCTACAGATCAAGTGTATTCAGTGCTCACTGGAATGAGAGAGAGAAAATACACTGTTTTAAATAGAAAAAGAAAAAAAAGAAAAACCTAAAATTTTTTTCATTCTTCCTCCATGGTGCTAAAAGACCTCAGATGAAACAAAAGCAAGCCTCTTTGTGTAAGAAATCCTGCAACTTAAAAAATGTTCAGACTCAATTCATGAATATTTTACACGATGTGCCAGAACTTCATCTGAACATCTGAATGTACTGGAGTCCATCAATAGCCTATCTGTCTTAACACCCCGGCCACACAGTCTCTCTCTCTCCCTTTCTTTCTCTCACTCTGCCTCCCTGTTTCCTCTAACAGCCATACACAAGGCCATCCATTCAAAGGCCCTCCTCATCCAGCCACAGCAGTCCCCTGAGGTGCCTATGTACAGACCATGCTGCCTGGGATTGAAGTGTAAGATAGGAGGAGTGGGGCTAGTTGCTTCCTCCTCTCTGATGACGAGGCTCTATAGGGCTTCCTTTGACACCCACTCACTGCTTTGCTCAGAGTTTGATGATGAAGACTTGTTTGAAAAAGATGGTGGCAGAGGGAATTTTTAGTACTGGTACAATACTTAACACTTGTATAAGAGCCTTTATGTCTAGTTGTTGATACAAAAAAGTTGTAAAAATATCTCTTACTAATTGCAATGTGGAAGTATAGCTCAAACTCTGTCATGGATTTTTTTCCAAATCAGCTGTAAGGTTAACTAATTCATTAATTTGCAAGGAATTACATTAAAACTGATAGAAAATAACTAAAGTCCATCAGTGTTTTTAATTCATGGCTTCCATTATGATATATTATATCAGCTATTACTTAATGTACGTATATACGTTAATATACTGTTAATTCAAAATGCAGAGCCCAAGGATGGATTACCAACCAAGCAAAGCAGGTGGCTATCCTCTGGGTCCAAAAACCTTTGGGGGAAGTTTTTTCTCATCCAAATTGAGGGTCTAAGGATGGAGGGTGTATACTGTACAGATTGTGAAGCCCCTTGAGGCAGATTTGTGATTAGGCTATATAAATAATAATAATTAACTTGACTACTAATTTAACTGAAGATTTGTTTTGGAGTATGCACCAACCAAGTGTGATCAATGAAATTACAAGGGCCTTAATGTGAGTGTTGCTTTATTGCCTAATCTTGACAGGACCAGGAAATCTAGTTTTAAGACCATAATGATTTGTTTTATCCGTGCTGCTAATTCCTAAATGAATGTGTTAAATCAGATTACCACACATCAATCCTCTAGCCCAGATAGTATTCTATAATGGCTGAATGTAGGACCATATTTTTTTCTGGATATTCCATTTTAAAAAGTTAGGGTTGTATTATATTTGACTTTTACGTTTTCACAACAGACATTGTTTTTGAATGGAACGAGTTCTGGCCCCTGCATTGCAAAGCAAGCCTGTTGCATTAAGCGAGTGTTACTATTGACTCAATCCCTCCTCCATCCACAGCCAAACCGAACAGGATAAACAGGATGAACAGGTTTACAGCTTTAAGTACCTAGACTCATTATAGATAATAAACTCAGTTTTGACCAACACACCACTGCTATCCATGAACGATGCCAGCAAAGGACTCCATGTCATCTGGGAACTCATAGCACTGTCAGAGCCTTGTGTTGGTTCCTCTACAAAAATGTTATCTTGTTGTACCGTGTCCCCTGCTTCTTCACCATGCTGACCATCATTAGCCTTCCTCTTACCAAACCTCTTAGACACCAGCAACAGAGCCTCAGATACAGGACTTAACAGTGGAGGAGGGCCTGCATTGTCCCTTCTGTCATTGCAGCCCTAAATAAAATACATGAATTCTACATACGCATGCACAGACGCAGTACAGGGTAACTTGACCCAGTGGTTTCAATTTCAATTTTAATAATCTTTAGAATGTAGGGGCATAAACATATCACTATACAGTACATCCACTGTATCCATTATGTGCATTTATATGTTTTTCTTGTCAGACATGAGCATGTGCAGATTGTGAAAACAAATTTCCTTCCAGAGAAGCTCCAGATAATCATTTCGTCATAGGGTATTGTTGTGTTGTGGAATGGTAGTGGATTGTTTCTTGAGATGTAAAAGATTGTAGGTCATGAACATAGACTGTATGATTAAAAATGGACGTAGCCTCCGTGGCGTCACCCATTGGTTTCTGAAGAGCTGTTGTGAAGCTGCAGTTGTGAAGGGCACTTCACAACGGCTCTTGTTGTTGGAAGTCCTGACTCCGCAGGCTTCCGGCTAATACAAAATGGGCAAATACATGGAGTGTGTGTGGCGCTGAGGCAGGCTGAATGAAGCCTGATTACAGAAAACAGCCACCTGTGACAGCACCCGCCTGTCACTCAAGCAGCCATGCCCTTAATTATTAATTAACCTTAAGCCTTAATATAATTTAAACAGGCAAAGAAGTTAGGGCTATAGAGACCAAAAACGTTTTTTACCATTTTAATATGGGGCTATGGAAGCCGAGAACGGCCATGGATTTTTATTTTTTTATGCACTGTTATCTCGTGATAACGACTTACTATCTTGATATAACAAAGATCGTTTTCTCGTGATAACTAATTAATTAATAATGTGTTCGTCTTGATTTCAACCTATAAGAGCTGCCACGAATGGCTTCCGTAGCCACTGGCTGTAGCTGTAGCCTACCGGTAAGTTACACTTTACGTTAGTTTGTTTACTTGACCGGAAGCCGTTCGTATTGGGCCGTATGGGGCCTTATGGAGATTGAGCACTTCTGTAGCCAGACTCAAGTGGCTGTTCGAGGAACTACAATGATTGTTACTTCTGTGTTGGCTTCATTTGCCAGCCATGGAGGTTTGTGGTTGGTTGTAAGGGATGGAAGCAGCTGATGATTCACTCTATTATCAAGGGATATGATAGGCTGTTTATGAGCCAGGGCATAGCTATGTGCTTTCATGGCAGTTTGCATAATGTATTTGAGTGAAATTATCAATATCAAACAATTTTCTTATTACTATTATTATTATTATTGATGAAGTGTCTACTGCCCATATTTACTGCTATTGTTTTATTGCCCAGGTCTACTCAAGAAGTTTACTCCACTCATGATAAAACCCTTATGGAAAACGGGAATAATGTTGTATGAGGGATAAAGTTCTAGTATCTGTTATCTTGGCTTACAAGTAAGGACAGTCATTGTGCTGCTGTATGGTACCTAACTCACTGTAATATGCTGTAATGGTGAGTTCACTACTGTAGTGACTGTATCTACTGCATCACTGTATCATTACCATAAAGTGGTATTTTCTGCTTTAGTAAGCAATACAGCCCACAGTATTGAATGTAGTCCAAGTGACAGGGTGGGTTTGTCACACATGATGGTAAAGTGAGGCAGAGGGAAGGAGGGCTGATGACACAGAGCTGGCACAGTGAGAGAGGCGCACATTGTACTTTGTGCTGGAGAAAAGGAGGCGCGCTGCTCCTCTCCATTACATTTCACTTTCCAAACCTTGACGGGAAAACAATATAAAAGCCAGGATGTAAAATCCAGTCAGAAGACGTCCGCAAATCCCGCTACAGACCAGTTTTTTTCCCCCTCAGTCTCCGAGTGGTTCTATAGTCTGGTTAATTCTGCTCCATCCAGCCGCGTTTTGTGCGCTCTGCTCGGTGCAGGAGTCAGTCGACCGACCGACGGAGAGGAGGGAGAGGAACCGCTCGCTGCTTCATCCCGCTGGATGGATCCGAGCTCTTCTCTTTTCACTCACTACCTGAGAACTCGGTCTTTACGGAAACTCTCTGTTTGAAAGAGTTGGGATTTTGTTCCCCACCCTCCGTTTTTATCGGTGAGTGTGTTCATTTTGTTTGCTTTTTATACCTGATCCATTTTACGCACATGATGCGTTTCAAAATTATCATCATGTTAGGTGAACAAATGATTTTCGTGTTAGTCAACACAAAACGTAGGCTATGTTAATTAAATGTATTTTAAAATAGGCTATGTGTGTATGTACAACATATTAACTGACTCACCTGATCAGTCAATTTGTCAAAAATGATCAAATATAGGTTCTGAAACAGTTTGAGGTCATTAGTTTTTAAAATTTAAATTAAACTACCGAGAAACTGTGTAATAATATTCACACGTAAATAAATCTGTAGCAGTTGTCTCCTTATTCCGATTCAACAGGTTTGTTTCAGTGCCTGACAGACAATCAGCACTACTCCCTGTCAGTCAGTTAATGATGCTGCTCAGGAGAAATGGGTTTGTGGTTGTAGTTGTGTTTTCGCTAACGCTGCTGATGTTGTTGATTTAACCCATGAGCTACATTTTATTAAATTTGCACATAAGTGTAGAAAATGTGGGTTCAGGTCCAAAACAGAAATAATTTAATTTATTAATGCAGCTCAATAAAATTGGTATCAGTCAGTGTATGCAAACTGCTAGAGGCACATTAGTGGGTATCATGGAGTGTATATTTCATATAAACTTCATGTTGAATTTATAGTATGTTAAAACCTGAACAGAACAGAACTGATCGAAGACTAGACTTCACCTTCCCTGGTGCTCCCTGTCTGGTTTTCCGGCACTTGTGGTTTAGTTGTTGCCACATATACCAGCTCTTTTCCTGAAATTGGATGACATTTTGGGCAGGTTCTGCTGGATTTGGACTTAAGCAGGGGAGAATGGCTGGAAATTTAATAGATATGAGAACTCATTTGGAACTCAAAATGTCACAAGCTTCATGCTGCTCCGTTTGGTGCCATGATGGCAAACTCTGATATTTTGATTGATAGTCGTGTATACTGCTGTTTTCAGCTTTATGTTTCCTCTTTCTTTGTTGCCCTTTATACCTTAGATGTCAGTTGGTTTTGGGGAAAGTCGATTCTGAAGGTGAGGAGGACTACATTGAAGACTTGACAATGGCGACAGGAGTAGCAGCGTGGCTCCCTTTTGCCCGGGCAGCAGCCATTGGCTGGATGCCGGTTGCCAACTGCCCCATGCCTGTTGCACCAAGAGACAACAGTAAGAGACAGGACGAGCTGATCATCCTCAATGTCAGCGGCCGTCGTTTTCAGACCTGGAGAACCACTCTGGACCGATACCCTGACACTCTGCTGGGCAGCTCTGAGAAAGACTTCTTTTACAATGAGGAAAGCAAGGAGTACTTCTTTGACCGGGACCCTGATGCCTTCAGGAGCATCCTCAACTTCTACCGGACAGGGAAGCTCCACTACCCCCGCCATGAGTGCATTTCAGCCTACGATGAGGAGTTGACCTTCTTCGGCATCATTCCTGAGATCATCGGTGATTGCTGCTACGAAGAGTACAAGGACAGAAAGAGGGAGAATTTAGAGCGGCTGCAGGATGATCAGGAGGAGAACAAGGACCAGAAGCTGCCCAACATGAACTTTAGGGAGACCATGTGGCGGGCCTTTGAGAACCCCCACACCTCCACCATGGCCCTGGTCTTCTACTATGTCACTGGTTTCTTCATTGCCATCTCAGTCATCACTAATGTGGTGGAAACAGTCCCCTGCGGTACCACTGCCAACCAGAAAGACATGCCATGTGGTGAGCGCTACACGGTGGCATTCTTCTGCATGGACACTGCCTGCGTCATGATATTCACAGTGGAGTACCTAATGCGCCTGTTTGCCGCGCCTAGCCGTTACCGTTTCATGCGCTCAGTGATGAGCATCATTGATGTGGTGGCCATCTTGCCGTACTACATCGGCCTGGTGATGACCAACAACGAGGACGTGAGCGGCGCCTTCGTGACGCTACGCGTGTTTCGAGTGTTTCGTATCTTCAAGTTCTCCCGTCACTCGCAGGGCCTGCGTATCCTGGGTTATACACTCAAGAGTTGTGCTTCAGAGCTGGGCTTCCTCCTCTTCTCACTCACTATGGCCATCATCATCTTCGCCACAGTCATGTTCTACGCAGAGAAGGGCTCCAGCTCCAGCAAGTTCACCAGCATCCCAGCTTCCTTCTGGTACACTATTGTCACCATGACGACACTGGGGTGAGTAACAGACATATGCACACCCATGCACACAGACACACAGGTAAACACATTCATACACGTGTGCACATTGTAAGCATTCTTTAAGTTGTTCACTGCTATGTATTTGTATTCGTTACTGACAGAAACAGTTGTGATGTTAATAGATGCTCTAGAGGTATTTTTGTGTATTTCTCAAATATAAATTGAATAATTTATGAAAACCACTTTGAATTTCAAATGAGCACTAAGACAGCCTGCCCCCATACTTCAATATGCTACAGCTTATTTAATGCTGCCAGTGTGAGTAAGGGTGGGCAGTGTAGCATTTATCTACCAGCACAAACACTCGTGGCATTTTGTTTGCTTCACTTAATGCTTGCCAAATAAGGCGAAAGTGGTTGAATAAATACAATATATCTGAGTATTGAAAAGATGCCCAGATGATACACATATTTGTACATGCACTAAAGACTAGAGCTATGTTTAGTGTTCTTGCTTTAGAAATGTTTTTCTCTTTTCAATTTTTGCCTTTTGATCAAATGATACACCACCTGTAGCCGGACACAAGACGTACAACAGGGCTGAACCATTATGATTAAAATTATCCTGAACATACATGATTAATCAGCCAATTCATTACTATCCAATAAACTAATAAATTCCACCTCTGCACCATTTAGACACCACTCCTTACTATCTTAGGATGAAAAGTGGTTCAATGTTTTGCGGAGAAATAAAATATTTTCTGTACTGTATTTCTGCCTTTTCTTCTAATTGGGGCCACACAGGAAGCACCATATTTATGGCCTAAGCATTAAATGTAAAAATGCCTTGTGAGGAATTCATTTAACTGCATTATAAAATCAGATCTATCTGCCGTGTGCCTGGAGGGGAGATGTCCCATGAGAGATCCTGTGTCACCTTTATTATGATTCCACTCTGCTCTTTATCTCTCACACAAGATGAGATTCAGTGCCATGAATGGCAGGGTGAACTTGAAAGTGTTCCCGAAGTTTGGCAGAAGTACTCTATTATGAAGGCACAGTGGAAGAATAATTTAGGAATAGAGTTCCTAAAAGTCAGTTTTTCTTTCAGGCTCTCTTTGTAGATAACGCTGTATACGCAAATGCAAAACTGCCATTTGGAATAAAATGGCAAAACAGAAAAAAAAAATTGGTTGGTCAACTAATTCAAATAAGTCAGATGCATGTATTTCTTAAGATAAAGGATAGGCTCCCATTATTTAAGTCTGTCTTAAAATCCACATGCTCATATGTACATTAACAGCATTATTCGTCAGTGTAATTCTTCTTCCTGTTCATAGTGGTTATGAAGAGATTCAATATGAAATTATACGACTGTCCTTTCTAACAGTAATAAAGAACATTTAACTTAAATTTTATTTAATTAAGTTATTTGTTTGAGGAAGCAGCCTTCTGAGTAAGTTTGCATAGTCGTTTCATTTTCATTCTCATTCCAGCTCAAAAAATTCACCAATTCATACTGCAGTAAAATATGCCTGAATTTTCTGTTTTGATATTGGCATTATATATTGGCCATCGGCTAGTTTGCTCTCTAAATATCTGCATCTGCCATTGAAAAACCCATATCACCACTGGGCCTGAAGTTTTACACCACTGATTATAACTTTAGGAAAGACTTGAAAATGTGAACCTATCCATTAACTATTTATGAGGGATCTACATTGCCCAAGAAATTGTCAGGACCACAGACTGAGAGCTTTAAAACCTGTTCATAATGTGTCAAAAGTATTTTCTGCTGTGTTCATTATTGAGAATGATCTACTCAGAGACTGAGAATACTGGACAGGAGAACATGTGGGCTGTCATGCTGCACCTAATTTGTCCCTTAACAAGATACCTCATGATGTGATCTTGTTGCATTTTTATTTTTTATTTTTTCAAAATGTGTTTAGTTGCCCTGTTGAGGAGTGACATGCTTGGTTGGAAGACTTGAAACCTTCTGCCCTTCAAGGTGAAATTACAGTTATTATTTAGGAATTGTAAAATGTGGAGAACATTTATTCTTCAGGTTATGGTCAGTGTGGTCGAGATTTATCTTTTCTCAAATAAAGAAATGGAAACTAAATGAAAAGTCAAGCTTGGATGATACATTAGCCTATTTCCTGAGTAGTAACTGAAAAGACTGCCTGACCTAACCTGTGCTACAGTATTTGTGTGTGTGTCTGTGTGTGTGTGTGTGTGTGTGTACAAGAGGGTCTTTTGTACCATACATAAAAAGGATAGAAATGCCAAGGTGAAAGCATTATGTAAATTGTGATCCCTGAACAATGAGTTTGAGTGTGGAGCCATTATGTTCAACACACAATAGGCAGCAGCATTGAGAGTTTATCTGCAGCTCTGACAATAGTGATCCTCATCGCTAAGGACAGTCATTTGCAATCAGGAAAACTATCATCTGATGCATGTTCAAGGCCATCATTTTAGTGATCGAATGCCGCTCGTTTTTTTTCTACACAGTCACACGTGTACCTTTAAGGTTTTTTAGAAATGGTTGATATTGTTCATCTTTCTGTACCAGATAAAATATGTCCAAATGCAATAGGGACAGTTTTTAATTGACACCATATAAATAAGAAGGTAAACATAATTCTGAATATGTTCTCCACAGTATTCAGCTGTTTGCAGCACCATGCACTGTAAGCCCCCCCCCAAAACAAACTTTGATTAAATATGCTACAAAAAAAAAAAAAAAAAGGTACAGTACCACATTTGTTCTGGAGAGCTCCAACCCATACAAACAAAGCAAGATTGTGAAAATAAAATATGTTCAAATACTGGTGGTGCTAGTACAGTACTCACTGACCTCCTCTAGTTTTGTTAATGTGCTGTAAGAGAGGCTAATCTGTGCATAATTACAACTGGAAGCGAACAGCCAGCAGCCTTTCATGAGGCTCAGCGTTCCCTCCTGCCTGTCGATTGGTTCACCTGCTGAACTGACATATGCTTGGGTGATGAGGTCACCAATAATCCATCTGTCAATGCACATAAAAAGCCACAGGGAAAAAATCTCAAAACAACAGTACATTAGGTAAGGTCAAACAAATTACTTGTGCTCTTTCCCACTTTTTGGACTAGTTCTACTCTAATTGAGCTTCTCTGGCCATTTCCTCAAAGTGGTCTCTTTTAATCAACAGCACCAATCTATACTGGTTTTATCTGCAGGTTTGGCTATGTGTGTGTATGATAGCCTGTGTATATATGTGTGTGTAGATATGTATATATGTGTATGTGTGCGTGTGTATATACACCGATCAGCCGTAACATTATAACCACCTGGGCACCCTGGTCGTCATAATGTTATGCAGCCTCATATGCAACAAACTGTGATGCACTGTGTGTTCTGACGCCTTTCTATTTGAACCAGCATTAACTTTTTCAGCAGTTTGAGCTTCAGTAGCTTGTCTGTTGGATCGGACCACAAGGGCCAGCCTTCCCTCCCCATGTGCATCAGTGAGCCTTGGCCGTCCATGACCCTGTCGCCGGTTCAGTGGTTTTCCTTCCTTGGACCACTTTTGATTAGTACTGACCACTGCAGACTGGGAACACCCCACAAGAGCAGCAGTTTTAGAGATGCTCTGACCCAGTCGTCTAGCCATCACAATTTGGTCCATGTCAAAGTTGCTCAAATCCTCACAATGCCCATTTTTCCTGCTTCAAACACATCAAGTAATATATCCCACCCACTATCGTGATAATGAGATAATCAGTGTTATTCACTTCACCTGTCACTGGTCATAATGTTATGGCTGATAGGTGTATATATATATATATATATATATATATAAAATAGTCAAGAGCGAGACTAAGATATCAGATATCTAAACTGTCCCCGAGGCTGAGTTGAGCTTCAAAAACACTGGATCCTAAGATTCCCACAATGCAACTTCAAATCCTCAGTTTGTAACACAGGCTTTTCTTCTTTCTTTTTTTAAATTTCCCAGCCTAAGCTGTGATAACTTGTGACATCACTGGAGTTATTTACTCAATAGCAATATTGTAGGGAGTAATGGAACAAGAATGGAACAAGAGCAGCCACAGTGAGCTGTTAGATGAAGAGTTACAGGTGACAGGCTGAACAACTCCTCAGCAAGGCAGCAACACAAGCCATCCCCAATTGAATGGGTGAGTAGTCTGTAATTTATGTTGAAATGCTCTAGAAGAAACATACACACATTCACAAACAAACAAACATTACAGACACATTAACTCTGGGCAAAATATTTGTAAAACATGGAAATGGACAATTCTGACAAGTCAAGATAATGTGAAAAATATACACAAACTTGAGAAGATATTGTGCAATGAGTTGTGATGCTGACAGCTGACAGTCAAGCCTGATGACATTTTGATCAGATGAATATATATTCCCAAAGAGCACGCACATTTATATGCTGATTCATTCATACACACACATACATACATAGTTATTGCCTTTGATCTTGTCTCGCCTTTATGACCTGCCTCTCTGCATCCTCTCCGTGTCTGCATGAGCCCAGACAGCGCAGCACAGCAGTTCTGGGTAATGGGCTGGAGCTGAGGGAGATGAGGGGGAAAAGGAACTGACTAGCTGTATAATCAGCCACTTTCACTGTCCAGGAACAGGGGTGTTAAATCAACCTCAGGTGGCTGATAAAAGGATCTGGATTGAATCTCAGCGAGGTGCGCTCCCTGCGGCTGCCTGCTGGCGCTTGCCACTGCTGGAGCCGGCCGGATACACGGTCATTTGGCATCAGTGGGACAGGATCCAAAAGATTGATGAGGAAGGAGAAAGCCCTCTCTCTCCCTCTCTTTCTCTACCTAACTTATCTTTCTCTCCCCCTTCCTCCCCTCATCCCCCATGAGTCTCCCAGGGGAACAGCTATTTTGAGAACACAGGCTGTGTGTGTGAAAGGGAGTTATCTGTTTCAACTATAATCTGATACACTATACAGGCACAATAGATGAGAGCGTCCCTTTCTACCTGCGTGACAGGTG